AGAATATATCCTGGTATATTTTGTGATCTTGTTCCAAATCTTACATATACCACCACTATCTTTAAATTCATTGTGTTAAGTTACTAAGTGCCTAAAAACTTTTAAGAAGATAAAGCTCTTGTCCTAGAATCTAGAGAAGAACACTTACATGAATATGACAACAGACCTAGGCATAAAAATGAAACAGATCTGTTTCATTTCTAACAGTATTCTAGGCACAGGTAATAGAAGATTGCATCTTTAAAGTCATACTGAGATTGAAAGTACTGCATTATAGTCATATGACAGATCAACCTTCTTATGAAAACTTTGCAAAAAACCATCCAAAAATCTGAATAATGAGCTTTCCACAGCAGAGTCAATGAGAAACCAAAGGCAGTCAGAACTAAAGGTAATAACCAGAAGCTACCTCTGCTTCCTCAGGGTGAACACTGGATATGATGACCTGACAACTGAATAGCTTTGCTATCCTTAGGACGTTTATGCTTCTGGAATGATCACTCACCATAAAGTGAGAGCAAGAAAAAGAAACAATTTCTCATTCCTCTCACATATTACTTTGAGTTCTATTTGCCCCTGCTAATGAAACATCTTTCATTTATTTAGAAATGCTATATCTCCTTTTTAAATAAAAGAGATAAAATTATTTTTATCATTTTTTAGCACAATTCCAGGATTAAGTTGAATATGTTTAAAAGAATATGAAACATAATTATTCATCTTTTATGTATGGCAGAAACCAACACAATTCTCTAAAACAATTATCCTCCAATTAAAAATACATTTAAAAACAAAACAAATCCCCTTTCAATCAGTTTGACTTAAAATAGCCAGTGGTAGATTTTGTTGGTTGAAATCTAGTTCCATGACTGGTACAATAAAAATTTTTTCCTACCCAAAGCGGGGTGGGGAAGGGGGACTATCCATCTTTTAGAATTTAAAGTATCTTCTTATAGATGTAAGCTTAGGGAGTTTTACAGAAATCCTGCTGTGTACAAATTTCTGGCAGCAAAAGAAGCCTCAGAATTGCTAATGACAATTCACAGCCTGCTAACCAGAAGAGCTGCTTTCATTGATTGATAATGTTTCTAGAAAGCTCCAGTGCAATAATAGACATGTATAAGAGAAGATGAGAGTAGATTTCAAGGGAGGAGACTGAATACATAATACAGCTGACTAAAGCTTGAAACTATGGTATAAAAGAATAGAGATCATGAAACAGAATAAAGAAAAGAGAGTCAGCATATGTTGGTGGGATAGTGGCAAGAAATGATCATTTCAGAAACATAACCAATCAAATGTAAAGTATTATTGGAGGCACTGGTGCCAAATCAAACATATCACTATAATCATCTATTAATATTATCATAATTACTACTAACATTTAGTAAGTAGTTACATGTCAACCGGGCTTCTCTGTGGCTCAGATTGTAAAGAATCTGCCTGCAATGCAGGAGACCTGGGTTCAATTCCTGGGCTGGGAAGATCCCCTGGAGAACGGAACGGCTACCCACTGCCAGTATTCTGGCCTGAAGAATTCCACAGACGGAGGAGCCTGGGATCCATGGGGTCACATTTGAGTCGGACACAACCGAGCAACTTTCACTTCACTACATGTCAGCCACTTTGCAAAGCACTATAAGTGAATTCAATCTTTATAACAATCTTGTGAGACACATACTACCATCAACCTCATTTTATAAATGAAGAAACCAGGGTTAAAGAAGTTAAGCAATTTGCCCCTTATCATAAAGCTAGTCAAAAAGCCAAAGCTAGAAATCAAGTCACATGGTTCTAGGTGCTGAGAGAAGTGTGCTATTCTGCTTTCTCATCTGGTAGAAAAATGGGCCAGAAAATGCTGCAGAAATTAACAATAAACTGTTTCATGAAAATTCTTCTATAGATACATCCACAAACAGAATAAGAGGTTATTTCATCCACAGTGTAAATTTCAAGTTTTTGAATGGAAAACAATGAAGAGATACTATGAACACTATGGAAATAACGATCTTATCTTTTCACGATATAAAAAAGGCAAAGTAGAACATCTTTGAAGAAAAGTATAATGTTGGCTCATCCAAAACAAAAAGGTCTAATAGTCAAACGCTATAGGTTCTAAGTAAAGTAAACTACTGGCCACAATAAAATATGTGCCCTCTGAGCAGTGCAATGGAGACACAGCATAGCAGACTGGCTGTAGGATCAACTATGGGATCCAATCCTGGCAGTACTACAAATAAATTGATGTGTTCTCCATGTCTCAATTTCTTAATCTCTACTAAAAAAATAATATTATACTGTTTTTTTACCTACTTCAAAAAAAAATTCAATAGGAAGTACTAAGTTAATGTTAGCAACTTTTATTAAGTTAAAGTACCTAAAACTGAAAGTTAAGTCATTTTCAATAAATGCTCTCGTGTAAAATTTCTATATATTCCAGCACTAAATTTTATATACAAAGAATCTGAATATAATCATTGTAAAAATATATTTCTAAAACATCACTAGGAATTAGGGCTTCTGTGAAATAAAATGAAAATCAAATGAGTGGTATCACCATCCTTTTCTTCCACACAGGAATTAAAATGAGAATACAATGGACTGTCCTGGTGGGTGCAGTGGTTAAGAATCCGCCTGCCAATGCAGGGAACATGGGTTCAATCCCTGGACAGGGCAGATCCCACATGCCACGGGGCAGCTAATCCCATGCACCTCAACTACTGAGCCCGAGCTCTAGCGCCTACAAGCACCAACTACAGAGCCCAAAACCTAGAGGCCATGCTCCACAAGAGAAGCCACCACACCAAAACAAAGAGCAGACCCCACTCAACACAACTGAACTCGGCATACAGCAACAAACACTCTGAGCAGCCAAAAATAAACAATTTTTTAAAATTATTGTTTAAAAAAAATGAGAGCACATCTAGTCTCATAGAAATCAAAAATGACAAATATATAGATGAACATGGGTCTTCCATATTTCTAATAGAAATATCTTACCATAACCTAACTATCAACAATAAATTTTGTTAATTTATGTAAAACAATCTCTTCTTTGGGATAGTGGTTCTCACACCTGTTTGGAAAGCAAGGTACAAGCAAGAGAGGGCGCTATTTACAGAACCTGCAAAATGATGATGTTGTAGTTAATGGTAACAAAAGAACTAAAAAAATTTTACCAGATTATGGATTGTATACACATATGCAACACATATGCATATTCTGCATTATGAAAATAATAACCACCAGCATCTATGAAAAAAATCTAAGCAAGAGCAATGTCATTTTTCCATTAACATTCATTTGGTGCTTGTTAATAGTAACAGCTGCTAACACCTGAATACCTACTACATGTCAGGTCAGGCAATATGCCAAAGAGATTGAGGTGTGTATTTTACTTAAAACTTATTTACCTTGCTCATAACCATTAGTGACTCCTTGTCATCATTACTTTCATTTTTACAATGAAACAGCTGAGGTTTCAAAGAGGTTAGATACCTAATCGAAGTCCAAACAATGGGGAAGGGGCAGAGCAAGGACTCAACACTGGCCAATGGAAACTCTTCATGTGTGCGCTTAGTCGCTCAGGCGCGTCTGACTGTTTGCAGCCCTGTGGACTGTAGCCCGCCAGGCTCCTCTGTCCATGGGGTTCTCCAGGCAGGAGTACTGGAGAGGGTTGCCACGCCCTCCTCCAGGGGATCCTCCCCACCCAGGGATGGAACCCAGGTCTCCTGCATTGCAGGCAGTTTCTTAACCTCTGAGCCACGAGGGAAGCCTGAAACTTTGCCTGCTTACCCACGGCACTACACTCTACACCAGGCAATAACATCTTAAACATTTTACACAATTGTATTTATTTAAACGTTATACAAATCAGAAAAGATCAACGTTAACAGATTTTAAGAATAAAATATAGGCATCAGTGAGAGGACCGTTGAAGGATCATTACCAAGAATCTAATGTAAGCATGGTAAAAGTTGTTCAGAGAGGAGAACTTTAATGTTCTCCCTCCAAAAAAGAAATGGTAATTACTGGGTTAGCCACAAAGTTCATTCAGGGTGTTCTGTAAGATGTGAGGGAAAACTGGAACAAACTTTTTGGCCAACCCAATATTTCATGTGACACAGTAGAGGTGTTAACTAACACTATGGTGGTAGCTATTATGTTAATACATTAATGTATCAAAGAAATACATTTATAATATGTTTTCATTAAACTCACACAATGTTATGTGTCGATTATATCTCAATAACCCTGGGTGGGGTGGGGTGGGGTGGGGAAGAATTGCTGAGAAGCCTGCTTTTAAAATTATTTTGGAAATTATTCCTAAATTTCAAATGTAACATGCAACATGCAAAACGCAACATGTAACATACTTTGGTTAAGTACACAACTAACAAAATCTCGAAGTTGTAGTTCAAATAAAGGTCTTCTTACTCGAATATAAGCCAACTGTAAAATCAACCACTGTTCAATTAGCCTAACTTAATTCCTCAAAGAGAGGACGTATTTTTAAAGAACAAAATTAAGCTTTAGGGAATAAACTAAATCCACTCTAATCTGTGTGTAGCCATTTTGGACTTCACATTTTAATTTGAGGAAGCACAGGACTACCAGTACTGTCAAAAGGAAAACAATAACCTTTAGTTTTCTTTTAGCTGAATTGTTACCTGGTAAACAAACTACTACTAATATATTGACTTTTGTAGCACATCTTCTAACATTACTCTTTACGTCCATGATTTCTAATTTATTATAATTAGCATATTCATAGTCATAATTGAAAAGACAGAAAACTATATAAAAATAATTCTATTAAGAGGAGTGAAAAGATTCAAACATGTTTAGGTCAATTCAACTTAAAATCTTATTGTGCTAGAATGAAATTTTACTAAAAGATAAGGGCCTTAGGTCTGCACCGGACAGCTATTAAAGACAAGAAAATCTACTGATCATCAAATTTAAAAACAATCTTAACTCAAGCCTTAAAATGCATCTACCTTATGATATCCATTGCCTGGTAAAGTATTTCAGACTGATCAACTCCAAGAACCTTCTTTGCCCCTGCTTTAGCAGCAAACATAGAGAGAATTCCAGTTCCACAACCAACATCCAAAACTACCTGGTATAATAATAAAAGAAAAAGAATAGATGTTATTGAGAAGGTCTAATACTTTAAATCCTATTCATATATGATGATGTTTCTGGCTAGGAATAGGTAACAAAATTTAAACTTTACCAGTCAAACATGATAATAATTTCTATTTGGGTAAATTGAACATATAATTACATTATTTTAAATTCATAACTGTTTTTGGCCACAGTTTATTGCAATCATAGGCAACAATGTAAATGTAAGAAATGTTTTATATGAAATGAGAAATTCCCACAGACTTACTAGGGAAGTAGTCTGCCTTTTATTTCCTTATTGTATGTATGCTCTAATTTAGGTTCAATAATTCTAAATTTTAACAAAAATAAGCTTTCTCAAGTTTGAGTACCAGAAATTAACCTAAGCAGGATAGTCTGATCCAATACAATTTAGAAAAGGTTATAAATGAATCATGGATACAAAATATTTTCATACCCACTCCATTTCCAAAGTTTAATATTTAACTCATTTTAATTAGAGGTACAATAAAAAATAGGCTTTTAGAATTCAGTAACTTGAGAATTTAAGTTTTCAAAAAGATACTCATTATCAATGGTAGAAACAGTAAGAAGAATGAAATTTATGTTATTGGGGATTGGAATGTAACAATTATTTCTAATCAAGAATTTCATATGGTTCTTCCCAGAATAGTAATAATGAAATCTGCATGGTTCACAGTAAAAAAAAAAAAAAAAAAAAATACCAAGGAAACACATTAAGCAAAATACTCAGAAACAACTAAGAATAAAGAATAGAGCGTAACAAAGAAGAGTAGTGCAATAAAGAAAACTCAAGCACAGAGCAGAGCTTAGGGCAAGGGGAGAGGACACACACATTCTTTTCGAATTTTAAACAGGTCCATGAAGCACTTTTTCTAGCAAGAGTATTAGAATGGGTTGCCATTTCCTCCTCCAGGGGATCTTTCCGACCCAGGGATCAAACCTGTGAGACGTCTCCTGCTTGGCAGGCAGATTCTTTACCACTGCACCACCTAGGAAGCCACTGTAAGAAAAACAAAACTAGAATTTATCTATCGTATTGTTCAATCTATGGGGCTTCCCCAGTGGCTCAACAGTAAAGAATCTGCCAGCAATGCAGGGGAGGCAGGTTCTATCCCTGGGTTGGGAAGATCTCCTGGAGGAGGAACTGGCAACCCACTCCAGTATTCTTGCCTGGGAAATCCCATAGACAGAGGAGCCTGGTGGGCTGTAGTCCATGGGACTGCAAAGAGTCAGACTCGACTGAGCAACTGAGCATTGTTCAATCTATGTAAATGAATCTATGCAAATCTATGTAAGTGAATCTTTGTAAATGAACTTATTTACAAAACAGAAACAGATTCACATGCTTAAAGAACAAACTTATGGCTGCCAGAGCAGGGCGAATTGGGGGAAGAGATAGTTAGGAAGTTTGGGATGGACATGTACACACTGCTTTATTTAAAATGGAAACCAACAAGGACTGACTGTATAGCACATGGAACTCTGCTCAGTGAGACAGCCTGGATGGGAGAGGAGTTTGGGGGAGAACGGGTATATGTATATGTATGGCTGAGTCCCTTTGCTATCTACCTGAAACTATCATACCATTGTTAATTGGCTGTTAATTCAGTTGCTCAGTCATATCTGACTCTTTGTAACCCCATGAATCGCAGCACGCCAGGCCTCCCTGTCCATCACCAACTCCCAGAGTTATACAAACTCATGCTCATTGAGTCGGTGATGCCATCCAGCATATCTTATCCTCTGTCGTCCCCTTCTCCTCCTGCCCCCAATCCCTCCCAGCATCAGGGTCTTTTCCAATGAGTCAACTCTTCACATGAGGTAACCAAAGTATTGGAGTTTCAGCTTTAGCATCAGTCCTTCCAATGAACACCCAGGACTGATCTCCTTTAGAAGGGACTGGTTGGATCTCCTTGCAGTCCAAGGGACTCTCAAGAGTCTTCTCCAACACCACACTTCAAAAGCATCAATTTTTCGGTGCTCAGCTTGCTTCACAGTCCAACTCTCACATCCATACATGACCAATGGAAAAACCATAGCCTTGACTAGATGGACCTTTGTTGGCAAAGTAATCTCTCTGCTTTTTAATATGCTATCTAGGTAGGTCATAACTTTCCTTCCAAGGAGTAAGCGTCTTTTAATTTCATAGCTGCAGTCACCATTTGCAGTGATTTTGGAGCCCCCCAAAATAAAGTCTGATGCTGTTTCCACTGTTTCCCCACCTATTTCCCATGAAGTGATGGGACCAGATGCCATGATCTTAGTTTTCTGAATGTTGAGCTTTAAGCCAACTTTTTCACTCTCCTCCTTCACTTTCATCAAGAGGCTTTTTAGTTCCTCTTCACTTTCTGCCATAAGGGTGGTGTCATCTGCATAGCTGAGGTTATTAATATTTCTCCAGGCAATCTTGATTCCAGCTTGTGCTTCTTCCAGCCCAGCGTTTCTCATGATGTGGTGTCATCTGCATAGCTGAGGTTATTAATATTTCTCCAGGCAATCTTGATTCCAGCTTGTGCTTCTTCCAGCCCAGCGTTTCTCATGATGTACTCTGCATAGACGTTAAATAAGCAAGGTGACAATAGACAGCCTTGACGTACCCCTTTTCCTATTTGGAACCAGTCTGTTGTTCCGTGTCCAGTTCTAACTGTTGCTTCCTGACCTGCATATAGGTTTCTCAAGAGGCAGGTCAGGAGGTCTGGTATGCCCATCTCTTTCAGAATTTTCCACAGTTTATCATGATCCACACAGTCAAAGGCTTTGGCATAGTCAGTAAAGCAGAAATAGATGTTTTTCTGGAACTCTCTTGCTTTTTTGATGATCCAGTGGATAACTGGCTATACTCCAATATAAAATAAAGATTTTTTAAAAAAGAATCTAGTACATTGTTCAACAACTACTTTTTCACTAGGTAATATATTCATTTTTCCATAAGCATAAGAGAATCAGCTTGTCTTTTTTTTAAAGTCTTAGTATTTTTATGGGGACTGAACTAAAATATAAACTTACAGAACACAGACAATTTCATTTTGTGTTTTCTATTCAGGAACATGGTAAGAATTTCAATTTGTTTTAATCATCTTTTATGTTCTTCAGGAGTTTGGGATTTTTAAAAAATCTTTTTCATGTAAGTCCTGCACACTAGTTAAAGTCTGTTCCTATGCATTTTATCTTCTGCACTGTTTACTAGTATAAGGGAAGTCTGTTCCATTACACTTTTAAAATATACCAGAACTGACTCCAGAGGAGAGAATCTAAATAGTCTTAATTTCTATTGAAGAAATAAGGTTGTCAAAAGGCTGTTACCCTGTCCCCTATCCTCTCTGCCCATCTTAGAAGGCTGAGGCCGCTAAGGGAGAATGCGAGTGTCCCTGACCGTAATGTTCCCTGTTTGGGTGAGTCAGCACATTTTAACATAACCACTTCACACATTAAGAAAGTTCAAAACTGTAAGATGAAATCTATAAAATACCACTGCAAAACCATTTTGTAAAGTTACAAATAAAATATACTAACCACATCATCAAGTAAATACTATAATACAGAGCATATATATTTATAGTATGCTTATAGTATATCAACTTGAAATATTACATGGCATAAAATGATAATAAAATGTAAAAATATATGCAACACAACAGTAAGCGATGACTTCCCAGAAACTTTCATTGAAATATTTCAAAATTAAAAATAAAAGATCAGTGTAGAATTTACCAAGTTTGACAGCACAGTGCTTTGGCAATGGTGTTTGGAAATATTGAGTATCAACACTCATGCACTGTTTCTGGAAAGACAAGCTGGCAGGACTAACTCCATCCAGGGTAGAACCTTTCTGATCGAGAGAGTCCTCTACTAGAATTTATCTTATTATTCTATTCCTACATTTATAAAAAGATTTTTAATATTTTATATTTTTACATGCATTATTTCTAATATAAAAAGTTAGAACTTATGGACAATTTACACTGAATTTTTGAGCCATTAAATTAACATTAATAAGGGATTATCTTAGAGAACCTGCTAAGTGACAACTAAGTACAGCAGGATACATATAATGTACTCCAGTTAGAGTATGTATTCTCTTGTAAAACTACACACACAAATCGTTTATATACATAGGCATATATATATAAAATCTTACTTAATTCTTTCTGAAGGAAAGAGAGCTTTAGAGAAAGAAAGTAGCAGATTCAGGATCATACAGCGGGTAATATGTAAAGCTGGAACTCAAACATAGGTCAAACTGCTTTTTTAAAAGTGCATACTCAAATTATATTTTTAGTTGCCTACTAATTATTACATCTAGCTCAGATTTAGGTATTTGGGCAAATAAACTAAAACTTGACAGAACCAAGAAAGAGGGAGAATGATAACAGAATACACTAATGTTATTTTATAAAACGATGAAGGAATGTATATAAAACATTTTAACTGTAGATAATAATCAAAAGCATAAAAAAGGCACCAAACTGTGAATTTCTTCAATGAACTACAAATAGAAATTAATTATGAGTGAGTGATAACAAGATTATACCACCCAAAGTTAAATTAAATCTGAGAAACCATATGGCCTCCACAGGAGCTTTGTGAATTAAAACAATATTAAGAAAGGAATGAAGGAAAGGAAGCAGGAAGGATGGAAGGAGAGGAAAAGAAATTTTAATTTTAATCCCTTTTGTGAAAAATAAATCTCTACCATGCCCTAAACAATATATGATACAGAAGCTAGAGCTGTGGTATGAAATTTGTCTACCTAATCAAGAAAAATTAAAACAAAAACAATGGTGTAAAACTTAGGAAGACATGTTATTCCATACATTTTAAAAAATAACTATATTTAAATAATTTCATGAACATGTTCTGTCATGCCACACAGGACCTATACATGAAAAATAATGAGAATTAAAATGTCATTAATGAATCTCACCCTAATTATTTTCTCCTTAAAGTGTAGTGGCACAGTGTTAAGGGCACCAGACTAGGACTAAAACCTTCAAGTTCTATCTTTTTAGTTGCCTATTTTTAGGACAAGCCTTTAACCTATTGGTTTCAAATTCCTCATGTATTAAATGGAGATAAATACCTACCATCCCTAGTTACAGATATATTATACAGCAAAGAGACATGTTTCAAAATATTTTATAAATTATCAAACACTATTTAAATATATGGTAGTATATTTTCTACATCTGCAGCCATAGTATAATACAAAGAGTATTCCAAGTCACATAAAATCTCTAGATTACTATTGTTAATTACAGAGAATTATATCCTGTATATGCTTTAAAGAGTTAGAAATTGATACATATTATACATTATACTCTTGAGAAACCATAAATGCTGAGCAAACCTAGCCACTCACTGATAAAAGAAAGCATGTCAGGCAAAATACCAAGGCAAACACTTTCAATTTATTAATAATCCCTCTCCTAACTGTGGCAGACTTAATCACTTCAGCAAGAGCAGTAAGTATAAGACAAAACAAACTTTACACGTTTTCCATGGTCATGTATTTTGTCCAAAAATGTATACGGTATTTCTATAACAGTTACAAATAAAAAATTAAAAGCAGATAATGACTGTGTACAGGTCATTGATTTGTTTCATATACATAGAAATATTCATAATTACTTAATTTCCTAATCAATCTTATGGTTACTAATGCTTTTTTCACTATTTTCTTATGTAATACAAGACAAAAGTCTATTCAGAGCATACTGAAAAAGAAACTATTTTTACTTAAAAAATTCTTACCGCATTGGTATCAAAAAGTATTTACAGCATTCGTATCAAAAAGTATTAAAATATTTTACAAGATAGCTCAAAGATACTGCTTTTATAAAAACAGAAGTCCTAAAATTTTAGAATCAGAAAAAATTTTTTTAAATCATTTTATAGATGAGGCCCAGAGACCCACCACTGTCTAAAATTATTATGTGGCTGGATCCCGAGTAGCCAGGCAGAACGAGTGATTCCCAGACTAGCACATGTTTAAATTGTATACAACATATTAAGGAAAAAATAAAATAAAAACCTAGGCATAATCTCACTGTAAGCATAAAGCAAAATTTTAATAGTAACATTATTTGCTTCACTGAAAAGTATTTCTTTAGATATTAAATAAACTATTCTAGCATTTTAGGTGCAAATATAAAAACTACTAAAAAAAGATTAGCCTTCGCTATAATAATAAATAAAAAGCAAATAAAAAAGGCAACAAAGAACTGATAAAAACTAATATTTTTAAAAATGAAATAATCTGCCTGTTGGGAAATTAGCAAAACAAAGAAACAGACGCCATCATTACCTTATAGGTAATGTGTTGGCCGCAAGATATCAGAACCATATAAATTTCACATCTCCAACTCAGCTAAGTCACAAGTTAAACACTGCTCTTAGGAAATAGGTATGGAAAACAAAAAGCCAGTCTCTATATATATGTTATTCCAAGCAACAAAAACTCAGGAAAATAGTCTTTCCAATATATTAAGGTTGTGGGTCACTACTGCAATATTATGTAAGGTCCATGAAATAACCTTAGAAAAGTATCTTTTAAAATTGAGGGGAACTATGAAAACCTGATGTTACCAATATACATATTCATGAAGTAGAAAGTGTGTGTGTATGTTAGTCACTCAGTTGTGTCTGACTCTTTGCAATCCCATGGACTATAGCCCACCAGACTCCTCTGTCCATAGGGTTCTCCAGGCAAGAATGCTAGAATGGGTTGCCATGCCCTTCTTCAGGGGATCTTCCCGACCCAGGGATTGAACCCAGGTCTCCCTCACTGCAGGCAGATACTTTACCATCAGGAAGCCCCTGAAGTAGAAAGAGAGGGGGAAAATTTCCAAGCAAAGGTATGTGAGTGGCAGAGAGAATCATATACCTGACTAAATTCTGGATTAACTTCCAGTAAGGTGGAACAAATAGAAAATCTGAATTCTTAGGAAACATGCCAATGTAGAAAAGGAGGGAAAGAGAAAGTGAAGAAAAAATGGAAAAATTCACAAGGGAGGAAAAAATATTTGACACAAATTTCACACACATAGCATACACACCATGAAACAGCATCTTTGAAATAACCAGAGGCAGTATAAACACTAATTGTAAAATATAAAGTATCTCATAAAATGGTCTGAAAAAAAAAAGCACATAAAATAAATTCTACCTTAAAATATCTGACCCTACTTACCAAATTTACTTTTAAAATTAAGTTTTAACTAATCAATGTGAACTAAAATAATTAAATGCTTTGATATGGGGTTTATCTTGTACATTTGAAATTTATAAGAATCACAGTAAATCAAAAACATGGTTTAAGCAAAACTTACATGACTGAGCAAAGTTTAAGTTAAATCACTATAATTAATGAATTTCAATTTAAAAAAAAGTGTACTGAATGACACCAATCAGCACTTCTGTTTATCAGTATTCTGCACCACAGATCAGCATCACAAAAGTCTTCCATGAAATAAAGCCAGTATACATGAAATCGGGCTTCCCTGGTAGCTCAGCTGGTAAAGAATACACCTGGCAAGGCAGGAGACCCTGGTTCGATTCCTAGGACAGGAAGATCTCTTTGAGAAGGGATAGGCTACCTACTCCAGTCTTCTTGGGCTTTCCTGGTGGCTCAGACGGTAAAGAATCCTCCTGCAATGAGTGAGATCAGGGTTTGATCCCAGGGTTGGGAAGACCCCCCCTGGAGGGCATGGCAAATCACTCCAGTATTCTTGCCTGGAGAATCCCTGTGGACAGAGCAACCTGGCGGGCTACAGTCCATGGGGCCGCAAAGAGTGGGACACGACTGAGCGACTAAGCACAGCACACACATGAAATCAACTGCTGTCACAATGACCTAAGAGGATTTCTGCTACCCAAGATCCACATGAAACATGTCATTCTGTAGCCTATGCTACCCACCTTGTCTTTGAAGATATGTGGGTTCTGGTATATAAAATCTCGGTAACTTTCTGTTCGTACTTTGTCCTAGGGCAGAGAAAGGAAAACATTACATCAGACTTACAAATAAAATTTTTTAAGGAAGATATCTGCTAATTATCACATACGTTTCTATAGCTACTTTTTGCCTGGAAACCCACATTTAATCTTTTTTTGCTAGAAGAAAATAATAGCGACTTCCCTGCTGGTCAAGTGGCTAAGACTCCAAGCTCTCAATGCAGGGGGCTCAGGTTTGATCCCTGGTGGGGGAACTAGATCCCACAAGCCACAGCTAAAGATCCCGTGAGCTGAAACTAACACCCAGCATAGCCAAATATTTTTTCAAAAAGAAAATAAGAATAATAACAGCAACAACACACAAAGAAAATATTTAATAACATCACTGAAAGTAAAATAAGACCTAAGTTCTTAAAAATGTAAATATTTTTGTCTTGACATGCACCATCACTATAAGACTTCAAGTGATAATTAATACTAAGGGGCCGGATTCCCTGCAGTAGAACTATGTTAAAATGAGGGGAAAAAGACAAAACAGACAGATGTGAAAATTACAGTTACATAATGAAAAATGAAGCTAAACTGAGTACAGTTTTCTAAGAAAGTCATCGATCAGCATCTACATGATTTATAATCCTGTTTTGTTTCTAGAACTGTCTGTAGCAGGTAATGATGCTTAAAAGCCTATAAGCCTAAAAGTAAATCATTTCAGCCCCACAGCCCACATTATGAGACTTCTCTACTCCACAATCTCACATGACCCATGCCCCAAGCAGGCACTGAACGTTAACATTTATGCTGATTCCTGAACAGTGCCAGTTCCCTTTTAAATCACCTCAGCTGAGACATATACTGACAGCAAATTAAGCAGTAAAGGCACAGTTCCTAAGGGAATAAAACAAGTCTGATAAAAATATCTCAAACCGGGAATTTTAAACTTCACACTTGGTAAAAAGTAGTTAACACCAAACACTACAACATTTATACCATTCACATCCCTGACAAAACCATGTTCATGCCAATATTTGAATTTTAAAAAAAAAGATACATATATACAAAGGAAGTCGTATATTAAAAGTTGTTTTACTTAATTAGTGGATCTAAAAAGAGGGGATTCCATAATTAATTCCATGTTTTCTGATGGAATTAGTTCTAACTGCTTTACAAACAAAATTTTAAATCAGGTTTATTAAATTTATGTATTTTAAGAATTATTATGAGAATCTAATAGTCAAATGAATTTAAACATACTATTAAGTAAAAATCTATAAATAAAGTACCATTTCATACATTCTTACTATTTTTATACTCCTCCTACACTATAACCAGTGATTTTTGCTGACACAACAAAACGCACAACAGGTGAACATCAGTCAAGAAGGCAGTCACTCAGAAAGCTCTCGCCAAGCACACGGCTCTAACTTAACCACTAGCACCCCAGCTCCTGTCCTAAGTCCATGCACTGCTGCTCAGCTCAACTATAAACCTTCATCCGGCTCTTCCTACACATCCATCTGCTTCCACTCATATGCTCACCCTGGCGCAATGAAATTCAAAGTATACTAAACACAGTGCTTTGGACATAGCAGAGGTTTGATTTAATAAATGAATTTTTGAGAGGAAAATCCACTAAATGTGAAAATCCAAACAAATTAAAGACAAGCCCTCGAACCATTTCTAAAAATTTATTCTAACAAAAAACTAAACTGTTCAATATAAAATAAGGTAATAAAAATAAAATAATCTTTTGCACTCACCTGTTAAAACTAAGAAACACAAAAGAATGAGAGCTTCTTTTGCTTCTCAATATTAAGCAGCAAAATAATCTTTTAAGACTAGTACATACCCCATAGTGTCATGGAATTATTTCTACAAATATTTTAAAAATTTAAGTATGAGACTAAATACAACAGAAAAATTATATACTATAAATTTTACTGATATAAGTAACAGCATGTTTTAAAATACAGGCTCATGAAGGTGGACAGAATGCCTGAGTCAGCTACAAATACAATGAGGAAAATGAAGTAAAGAAAAATTATTTAATGGTACTAATAATCTGGATAAATGTTCACCAGAATAAACAATGTTTTTCTTGGGGGAAAAAAAACCAGAGTGTGATACATGTCAGATTTAAAACATTAGCAACAACTCCTTTCAGAAAGATAAAGTGGCGAAGGATTTTGAAAGTTCATGTCATCTATTCTGCTATCAATTATATCTCTCGAATTCCAAGTTACCTTCATCTTGATTCTGGAAAATAAGATTACAAACTATCCTTACTTATAATCACTAAGTAAGGCATATCCAAAATAGTGTCACTAAAATACTGTATCTGAGACTAAGCAACAAAAAATCCAAATAATATTTTTATAAAAGCAAGGCCAATTCTAAGCATAAAAATAAGTCCTGTATGTATGGCTTCTCAATTTTAAATGATTTGTAAAGATCATGTGAGACTCTGGTAGTAGCACAACCTCGAACAAATTATATGTGCTAAAAATTGTTTTTTTTGATAGGAAACAGAAGAAATATTTCGTGACATAAGGCACATTTCATATCCATCCACAGTATGTAACTTAGCAAAATATAAAATGAACAAATAGTCTTTCTGAAAAAACTATATCCATATTTCCTATGATCCAAAGAGAGGTGGTTACACTGTATATCAGCTAAGGGGAATTAAGGCATGGCAAATTATATTAATAAGAATTCTTAAGTGATTCCAGATCTAAAAGCGAAAAGACAGCACTGGTAACTTTCAGCTGGAACTTCTTAATGTACATCAAAAGGACTTAAAGATACTCCATCAGGTATGAAGATCCTCTAGTTACTGAAATATAGCTACAAGGGTCCAGGAGAGAGATCTGGAAATAAATCCAAACTGGATTCCCAGATGACGGAACCGAGAGCACTCAGAGGTACCACCTTCTAGGAGTCTGGGTAACTTACCAGTCTAAAAAACCCAATACTATTTCCCTATCAAAAGCATTAAAGGCTCATGGCATTGAAACCGATGGGGTGATTTAAAATGACAAACATGAAAAAAAAAAAAAATGACAAACATGGACTAAGAAAAACTCCTTTAAAGAAAATATTCTAGACACAGTAAAATTAATTTTAATGAGGAAAACGGTGTATATCCATTTCTTTTAAATAAATTCATCCTGGACTTAAGAATAATTTATTACTTATAACTGTTATTTGCAATTCTATGCAACTGCCCAAGTAACAACAAAAAGCACAACCAACCATGACAAGTCATTAGTGAAGAAATGACATGACGTTGCTTTAAAAGACTCCAAATAATTACAATTACTATTAATCAGCAAACCTCCAACTCTGCGATCCTGCAAAACTGACTCAACAAAATATATACATGTTATTAAATATCCCTGGTTATTTTAAACAGGTATGTTTCAAGGAACACAGTCTTCAGGCTTCCGTAAAATAAATCAATCTTTTGAGGAAGGATTCAAAGGGGATTTTTCTTTTGTTGATTTTAAGAAAGAAATAAAAAGGTAGTGACATCTAAAATTCAGAGATAAACATCTAATTTTTCAATAATTTTTAAACTCCAACATTTGTTAGATATTTTCACTTTTACTAAATTAAAAAAATTACACTTTGCTATTTTATAATCTACAATAGATGATAAAATGTATCTATTATACCAGGTACAGCTAGAAATCTACTTATAGTTTATATAAACATTACCATTATAAAAATTAAAACCAACCAAATTCAAGTATCTGATCTGATTTAGGAAATTCTATCATTGATTTCAAATGTAAAAAAGTTATGCTATAACTGTGAGAATTATCTACAACTAACTTTGTACCAAAGAATTATTCTTTGTCCAAACTAATGACAGTACTGCTAATTAAAACATTAATTTCTCCTTCACACATTAAAAGGCAAACATATAATTTATTTCTTCCTATTTAAAAGTTGCTCTTGAGAAGCCTAAAATCATTAGGAATTTTTCCCATTTTTCTATTTTAAGCAAAAGTAATCTCATAAGGATTAATAATGCTCTTAAGTAGAATTTATAATAATTCTGATGCTTCTATAATCCTTTCAACGTAAGATGAGCTATCAAGTACCAAAAAGATCTAAAAACCAGTTCTCAAAAAAAAAAGAAAAAGGCAATTCTAGCACAGCATGCGTGTTAAGAACCAGTTTCACTCTATCTTTCCTTCAGCATGGAGCTGGCACATCTGTGCTCTTTTCTAACCTTGAGCATTTCTTCGTGTATCCCATAATGCCCGTAGGAGCTGAAATAAACACCATCCTCATCCTCCGGGAGGTCTGCAATGGCAGTGGTAGATGATGGGCAGGCTCTGACATCTGCGTTCATCACAAAATCCTGAGCAAATTGTCTGTAATCAATTTGAAATACACCCTTGAGACAAGTTTATTGGACCATGAAAAAAGGAAAGGCTAGAGGCTGAGGGAGAGGTAGAAGGGGAGTGTGGAGTGTGATAAGCCTCTAAATCACGCTCCATCTTAAGCAACGAAAAGCTCCCCCTGCTGGATTTTAAGCAACGGGCATATTCAAACCCAGTTGAAAGCATTCCTTCTGCAAAACCAAAAGCATAGCCAACTGCAAATTATGGCTGCTGATACCTTTCAACTGAACAAAATAAGCATACTATGACTCTATTCACTTTATTATTTCTACTGTTCCAAAATCTTATTATATCATGGAAGGGTTATATGAGCAGAAAGCAGATACAAACTGGAAATTATTTACACACACCACCACCATCCACTCAGGCTCTAAAACTCAGTTCCCCCTCTGACCACAACACATCAGGAACCTCTAAGGTATATATGGGAAAGAAGTGTAAAGAGGCAGATAAGAGAGTTGTTGGTTACTAGATTATTCAGCATAAAATATCAGAAAAAGGGAAGGGAAACTACAATCCGCTTGACTATTTTTCCTGCTGGACATTCTGCCAAACCATCAAATGGATCCTCAGGCAGTAGCAACCAACTTACAAATTTAACAGGTTAAGCTGGAGGTATATATACCTCCAGAGTCTCAGACTCTTATCTATTCAAGGCCTCCTGAATCAGAATCTGTAGTCTATTGTGTTACCCAGGTGATCTGTATACATGTAAAATTCTGACAAGTACTAAGCCAGCAAAATGCTAATTTACGCACTGTAGAAAACCATTTTATGGAGCTAGTTTTCTGATTACATACTTCACCATAATTATCAGTTGATTCTTTAAAAACAAATATTTCAACTGTGTATTTCCCAAAATCTAAAATGTATTAATCCCTATACTTTAAAAAGCCTAGGAGAAGAAAAGGCAAGTGGAGAAAGAAGGTAATTTAAAAGAAGGTAGTATTAAGTAACAAATGCACTCAAGAGGAAAACACTCCTGAGAACAATTACCATTAATATAAAAGTAATTATACAGAAGTATATGAGAATAGAATTTTATGTTAATCAGTTGTAGCCACAATATACAAAAATACTGCATATCCTCAATATTACTAAAATTAAATATCTACACTGTGCTTTCTAGTGCATGAAATATTTTACTGTATTTCACCTTGAACTGTATTATTTGGGGGATCTAAACCATTAATTTTCTGTAAGATTGATAAATTACTTCATTTTTTGCAGGTCCTCACGTGCTCCAGCCAATGCAGCTTCAGCAGATAGTGCCCTGGCTTCCATGTGCTTCAATTTTTCAACCAGAGATGCATTTTCACTGAGCCCATTGGGATAGGAGAACGGGGCTGACACCGGCTCATAAAGATCTTCTACGTCTAAAAAGTAAACGGACATCATTTTCAGGCTGTCTTGTAACAACGAAGCACGCACACATGTGTTACAAGTAAACATATACTAAGTGCCTATTACGCAGCCAACTGAGAATAATTAGTACAAGTATGTTTAACTAACTATTTAATATCCAAATTGTTTTGGGTTTATAAAGAACATGCTGTTAGTCTAAGTTTTTCACTAGTTGGCTAAACTGAACACACAAACAGTAATTGCACTGAATCAAACCCAGGACAAAGCAAAAAAGTAGAAGGGAAAAAAATGCTAGTATTTATTGATCGGGTATCTTTCAAATTCATGTATTACATCTCATTTCATCTTCAAAACAAACCTACAATATAAACATTTATCCCTGTTTTAAAACATGGGAAAAATAAATTCAGAGAAATTGACTGGCCCAAAGTCACATAGTTGTTTAATGAGGGAACTTTGATTCAAACTTTTGCCTGCCTTTCTAGCCCATGTTCCTGCCATCACAGAGGGCCACCTCTAAGTCTCTGGGTCTTTACCTGTAGAAAAACAAGTATTACCTCTGGATATTTCTTAAGGACAACATGGAAGTAAGGAATTCTGTACATTCACTAAGTTTTTCATCTTGGGTAAGGGGGTATACAATCTATACATTGTCTCAGTGCTGATACTGTTAAATATCCCAATTCCTAATATTATTAAAAATTGATTTAAATTTAATTTCAATATATGTAAATTAGTAACTTCTGCTACAGAAGTTAATGTATGTAAATCATTAATTCTGCAAACAGAAATTAATATATGGAGCTAGTGAGTTGTACAAAACTGCAATGTCCATTGACCAGTCTAATTAACTTTCACATCAACCTAAAGCAATAAAAACAATGCAGGTATTATACCATCTCCTCAGAGCAGCACTGAGGGAAGCAGGACTTCCCCCCCCATTCAGTCTTTACTCGCAACTTTTCCCCCCCATTCAGTCTTTACTCGCCACAATTCTTTAGAATTGGTACAAAATACTAAGTTTTTCACAATAATATTATATAGACTAACGCCTAAATTGAACTTGTTACAAAAGCAGTGCAGGATAATCAGTCTAGCAGAACACTGACTCTTTGCTTTAAAAAACTATATTCATCATCTACTATTTAATTCACCTAAAATTAACAACAGCAACAAAATACTGCCAAACTGCTAAAGGATGGTGGTACCATTTCTCTGCTTCCTACTACAACTCGCATTGTGTATCCTGCCTTCAAAATTCTTTGAACTGTTTGCAAACCACCTTGTTAAAGAACAGAACAAAGAAATCAGCTTGTTTCAGCTAGTTTCTCTGTTTTGCTTTCTGCTGCAGTAAGTTAGTCAGAATAAAAACTTTATTAATAATATAGTTGTCCCTTGGTATCTGCAGGGGCTCTGTTTCAGGATCTCCCTCAGATACCAAAACCCACAGATGCTCAAGTCCCTGTATAAAATGGCAATTTACACTCAGCATTTTAAATCATCTCTAGATTCCTTATAGTAACTAGTACAATATAAATGCTGTACAAATAGTTGTAAATACAATGTAAGTAGTTGCCACTGGGCAGCAAATTCAATTTTTTTTTTTATGGAATTTTTTTTCCTGAATATTTTTGATCCAAAGTTGGTTGAATCCAAAGAGGCAGAACTCCTGGATACAGTAGGCCAGTTGCACACAGGTAATTACAAATTAAAGGTTAAGTGTATAGCTTTGAAAATGAGAAAGGATTCAGTAAACATTAACATTCATAACTATAGTATATCAAAACAGTCTAATTCAAAGTCCTAAACCACACTCAGGAAGAAGTGCCACATCTACATTCTGTCTCAGGAAGTTCAAATCACCTGGACACTCCATCTTGGCAACTGCAAACTACCACAAAAGATAGTCAGTTTATCAGGAAGACCTAACAATTATAAATGAGAATAAATCTCACAAGAGAGTTTCAAAATACATGAAGCAAAAGCTGACAGAATTAATGGTAAAAGCAGAAAATCCTCTAATCACAGTCAGGGATTCAAATACACCTCAATCAAAAAGTGATAGTGGCAGATTTTTAAAACTCCAAAAAGACATAAAAGATCTGAAGAAAAATACTAGCACTGTGACCCATTTATACAAAAATGTGCCCAATAACTGTATCTTGACATTTGTGAAGAATACTCATTGGTAATTCTGTAGAATGGCTCTCAACCTGGGGCTGTCTGATGATTTTTTCATTATTGGAATGAGGTTATACACTTCTGGCAAGGACAACAGAGAAACAACGCTGTCTCCTCAGAGTGTTACACAGAGGGGCTCATGATGTCAATATGCTTATTACTGGTGATGTTAACCTTGATCACTCAGATGTGGTGGGGTCTGCTTGGTTTTTCCACAAAAGTTAACATCTCCTTTGTAACAGATTTCTTGGGGGAGATACTGTGAACTATGCAAATCCTATCGCACCCACCTAAGTTTTCACTACTAATCTCAGCATCCATGGGTTGCTCTTCTCGGCAAGTTACTACTGCAGTCCTTGCCTAATGCTGATTTTCTGTCTCTCTTCTCCAAAATTTATTAATAGAAATTCTATGCTAAAGTGGACCTAATTCTTCCCCATTTATTTGACTATTCATGTCAGTATGAATTCATGGACATTTATATTATCCTAAGGGTTAAAACTCAACACTGTCATTTTCTGTGTCAATCAAATTCTTCCAGTTTTGTCCATTAGGAGCTCCTTCAGGTTGGTTTCCTGTGTTCTTTAGGTAAGTCTCCTCTTTTCACTTTTTCTTAAGTACTTCCTTACTTTCTGGAACAAGATGTCCCAGGTTTATCTTGTATTTTCCCTGCCTTATCATGGAATCAATCACCTCTCTCAGGACCCTTGGCACCTTATATTAATAAAGGATTGTAAATCAAGGTCTGGACACGAGGGATGCTCATACTGACATTTTTCTAGGCCTTCAGCAGAGCTAGACAACATACAATTATGTATTATACTAACCCACACACATCTATACTTCTGTCTATATGCACGCACACCTGTATTTCTGTATCTGTCTGTCTATATAAGAAATACCGTGAATTTGGACTTCTGATTCTAATCTATCATCACAAGATTCATTTCATCCTTCAATTCAACCTCCTTCTCCAACAATGAAAAACCTGGCTCTTATCGATATTAACTTACTTCTTCCATTCTGGCATATGTAAAAACAGTGTCAGAATTGTTAATCCATACATTCCAAGAAGGGCATCCCAATGTGGCAAGTGGTAATGAAATCTGCCCGCCAATGCAGGAGACACGGGTTCAATCCCTAGGTTGGGAAGATCCCCCAGAGAAGGAAATTGCAACCCACTCCAGTATTCTTTCCTGGAAAATCCCATGGACAGAGGAGCCTGACAGACTACAGACCATGGGGTCGCAAAGAGTTGGACATGACAGAGCAACTGAGTACACACACATTCACACAAACACACAGGGCACCCCCACACAAGAAATTCCTTTTCTTACTGGATTATAGCACTGATGTAGTTCTTTTTCTCTGTAGCCTCAGCACAACATCCAGTCAAGGTCTCATGGAGTTCTTTTCCTCCCCTCTCTCTGCAGTAGGGTTACATTACTCCTTTGTATTATGGTTTAGTCCATCTGGTAGGGCTTGCATTCCACCTCACACCAACACCACCCTCATACCCATTCAGCCTCATCACTGCTGGTTTCTTTAATGATGTGAAGGCTATAAAACCTGACTACGATCCTGAGGTCAGAGCTGCACAAAGACCCACCCAGTGACGGCGTCACCCCTCACCTGTCACCGCAGCCTCTGCTCCCATCTCTGTCCCACAAATCCAAGCAGCCAATCTCAGTTTCCAGTTTATCCTTCCTGCATTTCATTCGCAAAAGTGACCAGACACATAAGCATTTTCTCAAATCTCTCCTACACGAAGAGCATCATACAGATACTCTTTTGAGCTTTGCCTTTGTCATTTGACACTACGTCTTGGGACTCCCCTAGCAGTCCAATAATTAAGACTCTGTGCTTCCAATGCAGGGGGTGCAGGTTTGATCCCTGTTCAGGGAACTAGGATCCCACATGCCACAGAGAGCAACCAAAAAATTCCAAAACGGAAATGAAAACAAAAAAGACAGCTGTCCTGGACAGCATTCTGCACCAGCTCCACTCATGCTAAGACAGGATCACTACTGCGTGTTGTGGATGTGCCACAGTTTGTTCAACTACTCTCCCATTTGTGGACAGTTAGGCTCTTCTCAACATTGTGGAATTACAATGCCACAATGAAGAACCATGTTTTCTATCTATTTTCAGAGCGTTGGAGGTGTATCTTCAAGACCAAATCTTATGAGAGAAGCTGCAAAGTTTAAAAGTTTACGTCCAGGTTTGTGAGGTACTGCCAAATCTGATTCTGCTAGCAGTGTATGACAGTGCCTATCTCTCCACGGCCTGGTCAACAGATGGTGCTATAAAAATCTTTACCAGTCTAAGAAGTGAGAAATGGTAACTTGCTGTTGGGTTATTTTTATACCTTTTTTTGGTCTACAGTCCAACCACGTATCTTTTCCCATTGTTCCATCAATTGTTTGATCCTCTGTCCCTTAATTTTTAAGAAGTCTTATATGAAAAGGATATTAACCCCTTGTGGAATATGTTTCAAATACTATACCATACTTTTAAAAACTTGACTAAACTCCATTTTATTCACTCAGATTTCATTAGTTTTTCCCTAATGTCCCCTTTCTGTTCCAAAATTTCACCCAGAATACTACACGTGTTTAGCTTAAACCCTTCTTGGCTATGACAGTTTTTCAGGCTTTCCCTGTTTTTAACAACATGGGCAGCTTTCAGGAGTATTGGCCAGACACTCTGTACAACGTCCCCCACTTTGTGTCTGTCCGATGGCTTTTCATGGTTATACTGAAGTTACTGGTCTGGAGGGAAGACCACTGAAGTAAAGTGTTATTTTCATCACATCATACAAAGGGCTCATACTATCAACATGACTTATTACTGATGATGCTAACCTTGATTACCTGGCTATGGTAGTGTTTGCCAGGTTTCTCCATCATATAGTTACTTCTCCCCTGTTACACTATATATTCATTGCCTATTTTCTTAGTCATCTTTTTTAATTTAGTCATCTTTATATCCTCAAAAGCCAAAATACAAAGCAGAGGATCAATAAATATTTACTGAAGGGCAGTGGAGGTGAAAAGGTTGGTCACCAAGCCAAGAGGCAGGGGAAATGAAGACCTTCTCTTCCATCTCTCTCCACCAACGGCCAGGAGCACAGATCCTTTATGAGGCTTTTTTGTTTTGGCTGCAGGATCTTAGTTTCCCAACCAGGAACTGAACCTGTGCCCCTTGCAGGGGAAGCATGGAGTCCTAACGAGGGCCCACTAGGGAAGCCCACAGATCCTTTGAGAGATGCAAACAGTACACTAATGAGCATACCCAGTTCAAGGTCCACTTCCTTCCCTAGGCCTTTTAACTGTTCCAAACCTCAGTCATGACTTCTTCATCTAACTCCTTAGAATCTATTTACTAGTAACAACAAATTCTCGGTCATTAAGCACTTACCCTGACAGGTACTATGCATTATCTTTGCAACAATTTTGTAAGACAGGTATCATTATCTCCTTTTTACACATTAAAATTAAGGCTGAAAGAAGTGTATATACCTTTGGAAAGTATAGAGTTCAATACTGGTCTGCATCCATAGTAATCAGCACACAGCACTCAGTATCTGTTGATCTGAGTAACTGCTTTCTCTTCTGAACTGCCCTATATTTCCTACGTCTCATGAAACTTACTACATTCCACCATATATTATTAATACAATACAGGGCACTCACTCAAAAACAAAACACACCTACTATTAGATTATGGGCTGTCTACAGAAAGGACTCATTCATTAGGTTTCCACAGAATTTAACACACTACTTCTAACCTGTGAGTGTTCAATTTGAGTTTAGGGTGTCATGAAGACCACCTAGTGGGCATTTCGTCATGTATCAAAGAGATCACTTTGGTCACTTCTGAGGAGAAAATAAAATTTAAGAGAGGTTATAAAAAACAAGGAAGAATCAACCTAGGCCTCACCAAATTTTAGAATTAGAAACAAAGCTGGAAATCTGGCCCCAGTTCTCATTTTGCAGATGAAGACTTAAAAATACAGAAAGCGTAAGTGCTTTGTCCAGGGTCACTCCGTCCCTGTATCATACATTAAGGTTCTTTCTATGGCATCACACTGCCATTCAACTCCTGTTAATGGTACTTCTCAAGGAAATGAGTGGTTTCCCACAGTTCTCACTTTTCAGAGAACTGCTCAAATATACACTGTCAAACTACTATCTGTGACGATATGTGTCTATTTAGACCAGTCTTGCTGATCTAAAGACAGCAAACCCTCTATGTCACCCAGCTGGCACACAAACATGAAAGAAAGTATAAACTTAAAAGTAATAATAATAAATCATAAACTCCAATAAATTAGATCTATAAAGGATGAGTAAGAAGCCAAGTGAATTTTCACAGGATTCCAGTTCAATAAGGAATGAACCAAAGCACAGAGCAAATAACTCAGGAAGCAAGCTACGGTCAATAAATGAGTGAACCTGCCACAAGGCAGGCTGATTTAGTTAGTGTACATGGGTAAGCCCATGAGAATCTGCATGGTCTGCTCTGCACCAAAACAACAACTCTGTAAATTAGGTATCTTAAGAAAAGTCAATTATCTGATGATGAGGTAAAAGCAGCAAATATTGCTCAATTTACTTAAATCTATTAAATATTTCGTCTGATTTAAATTTTTTAATTTAGATTTAAAAGTTGTCAATTTGAGTTACATTAAAAATTAGTCTGCCAACGAAAAACTACTCTCTTAAATGTTCCTATGTGTCCAAACGTCTTGCACACAATGTTTATCCCAAGCTCATAGCCCTCCCTGGTAACTGCTAGCGTGACGCACTTTTCAAGTGACTTAACTTACCTACTGAAACCAACTACCCAGAAGATCTTTCGAGAATCAAGGAGATAACATATCTCCTATAAAACTTAAACCACTGTTCTGCCATAACAAATGACCCTACTTTAAAGTAGATACCATATGTTCAGCTTACCAAATTGAAGTAAAAGGTCATCTTCTAATACAGGCTTTAAATACTCTTCTTTCTCCCAAGGCACTGGGTTGTATATGGAGTTCATATATTCAACTGTAGGATTCTGGAAATAAAATCAATTGCATTATTTTTTCACTGCACATAATCACACAATCCCCTTACCAAAAGAAGATTAAACGAAAAAGGAAAGCATGTCTACATTAACACACAATTGCTATTTAAAATGAATCTGTGTTAACCTGCCATTTCATTAACTTGACTGAATGATTGCTTAATTGTTTCAGGGCAGTTTTATATTGTTTGGATTTGGGGGAAATGGCAATATAAATATCAACTGACCAGAACTAAGTGTTTACAAAAAGAGCAACTAAAGCACTTAAAAATCACACTAGAAATCAGAAATTTCTGATTTTATAGGAAGACTGTATTCTTTATCTGACACTGAATTACTTTGCCCCATAATATTGATCCATCTCTCACATGCAATTAAAACCATACTTAAGTATGCTATGTATTGTATGGTACCATACATAAGTATGGTACTTATGTATGCACGTAAGCACCATGTATTTACCTGGTGCTATATGTTCTGCTAGTTCCTAATGTCCAGGATTCCAACATGATGAGTGTAAAGTTTAAAACACTTCCTTATATAGCAGTTCTTCATATTCTCTTAAAAATGGGTGCACTGATAATCACTGCAGCCTTTCTTTAGGTTTTAAACAAAACTGTAAATTAAGCTACCATCTTACCTTAAGTCTAATAAAATTTATCAGTTTAATGTATCCATAAAATTCAAGTCCTAAAAGGGAAAAAAAAATTCACTTATTTCAACATGAGTTTTGTTTCATTGACCTGCTCCAGAGATGCTTCTCTAGTGAGACAACAGCCATAGATGACAAATTTTTAAATGTCTTCCTTGCATTTCTAGAAAACGGGAAATTAATTTTTAGAATTCAACTCTTCTCAGAAAAATACAAATAAGGAAAATTAGGCCTTAGATTTTACCAAGTATTTGGCAGTTGACACTAGAGCCAAATTTTCTAATTCCCCAATTTTTACAGCATCTATCAAACTATCATTTTGCCAAGTCACAGACTATACAAAGTGTACTAGCTTTTACATTAAGTTAATTGATACAAATTAAAAAACAATAAGGCTTGTATCTGGTTCTCACCTTTTCAGAAATGAAGCAGCATTTAAAATAAGGAAGAGAAAATAGCATTCCAACCAATTATTATTTGTCATGAGAAAGACTGTTATGAAAACATGTGCTAAGTTACTTCTCATGTCCCACTCTGTACAACCCTATGAATGGCAGCGTTCCAGGTTCTTCTGTCCTTGGGATTCTGCAGGCAAGAATATTGGAGTGGGTTGCCATGCCCTCCCCCAGGGGATCTTCCCGACCTAGGAATCGAACATGTAGCTCCTGCGCCTCCTGCAATGCAGGCGGATTCTTTACCGCTGAGCCACCAGGAAAGCCCTGTCGAAAGACTTATGAGAACATACTGGTATTTGAAAGTGTTTCATACGCACAATAACATACAAAACCCCTATTTGGTAAGTGAAAACATAAAATTATATTAAGCATGATTCCAATTTAAAAAGGCACACTAGAAATATGAAAAAAAAATGAAACAGTAGTTTATGCCTTACAAAAATAGTTGCAGTTGAACTTATGGTTCACAAACATACTGCATCATATGTGTATCTAAGGTCTAAAATCTGCCTATTTGCTATTCTTCAGTAATGTCCTTTCTAGTTATTAGTAAATACAGGGACCAAAAAGTCAATTCTCTACGGAATTAATTTTAGTACCCTACTGTAGCTCTTCAATATTTATTTAGAGGAAAAGGCTTTAAGTATGCCTAGATCCAAGTTACAACAGAATCATCATCTGAACCTCCGGCTACCACTTTAACTGTATCACTCCCTACTTCCATACTCTCTTACCGAACTCCTTATAAAACTCAATCTTGTATGCCCTGAAGTCTATGTTATGCTCTGAGCTGTAAGCTGTCTTTTTTCATAATGATCTGCCTCCTTTTTCAAAGTCCACCTTTACCCTTATTCTCCCTAATTCTAATATCTCCCCCTTCTCTTAAAATGATTAAAATGCAATCACATGCCAAGGGTGTTTTTTTTTCCTTTTTTAGCTGTGAAGCCAATTTAAGCTTAAATACAGTGAATCTTATCTAGAAGAATGACTTATTAATCTTTCCTCAAAAGCCACGTGCCAAAAACACCTCATTTTCATAAACTGTTAGTATATGTTTAACTACTTTAGACTTGTATAGAAAATGAAGAGATGTGGAAAAATATAAAGTCTGAATTTGAATTTCATTACTAAAACTTTCTTTATTCTAAAAAATACTTACCATGTTTACGAACCATGTTATCAATACTAAATTGATGCTCCGACTTACAGTGTGAAAATGTTTCTTCAGCAGATGTAAATAACCTGAAAAACCAAGCAATAGCTTCATGGGATAGTCACCTAACAACTCTAAGTATATTGATTTCATACTTAATCAAATATAAACTTTTCCCCTCACTCTACAAGTTTCCAGTGTTACTTCCAATTAACAGTAATAAAAACCACCTGTAGAGGATCCCAGCACTTCTAAAGGGAATTAGTACTTCTGAGTCCCATTTTACACCTAAAACTATCCTTTAAAGGTCAAGATTAATATGTCAAACAATAGCAGTGAATTTATCACAAAGCTTTTGAGAGAGAAATCCCTTTGATAATCTGTGTCTCTCAAGACATGAACATTCCCCATGTAAGACTCTTTTTTTCCTCTAAGTATCAACTCTTGTTTTCAGAGGCTCTGAACTAGCATAGGGTCAAACATCTTTCAGAAATAAAGTATAAAATGTAATTTTATAACTGGCACATTTCCAAAGTGCCATATTTCAAAAAATGGTCTTATCGTGCTCCCCAAGGATTTGCATTACAGACACTGGGAGGCCCAAGCTGCTTTATTATGTTATCTGCAAAACTGAAGGATGCACAGTAAGTCAGGAATTTACAGCAGAGACACACCTTTACGCTTAGCACATAGACAGCAGTTTTAAATAAACATTTACCAAGATAGGTTATTTTTGTAGTATTTACCCAACCTATCACAAAGAAGTACCTCCCTGATACTCAGTAAATATTATTTTGTGACTAGAGTATATGCACACATCCCTTATTTACTCAAATGAGGCTACACGAGGAAACTGACGAAATCAAGAGATGCTAATATACCATCAATCAGCACCATGCCCAAACTCAGGAGGAACTAATGTTTTTTAAAGTAATACTAGTCAACGCCAATCAGTCCTCTTTCATCCCCACTTGCCCAAAGAAGCAAAGTCAAAGCTTGTTGAGATGAAGCAGCAGAATTTAAATTGAAAGAACACTGTTTTGGCTATAAGACAAACCACAGCTCTGCAACTCTGAACAAGTTACTTTCTCTCAAAAAGGCATCAATTTCCTTCACCTTCAACAGGTGGGGATCCTCTAACAAACGTGGTTCTTTAAATGGTTCAAATGGAACTATTTTACACCTGAAAAGCTTTCTACTTGTCAAACAAATATAGAAAGGGAGAGCCGGAAGGATTCTGAGGGATTAATCTAGTTTAGTGACTCCCAAACTTGTTACTCTTTAGAATCACTTCGGATAGTGTCTTTGTAAAAAAGCAGATTCCTAGACACTAACCCTGATCTAGAAGGGCGGAGGCGCAGAATTTAGCATGTTATTTTTTTTTCTTAAGTGTTTTAGGTGACAACCAGACTAGGGAACCAAAGATCCAGTCCAGAAGACTTTTATTTTTACACAAGGGGAAACTAAGGACGGTCGAAGACCAATATTGTAACCTGGCTTCCAGTTCATGGCTCCTCCCTCTGGACAAACCCTCACTCCCAACCATGGTTTCCAGATTTCCAGGGCAGCCACTCGGGCTACAGACTCCAGCAGAACCGACCACGAAAACCCACGTGGCTTGGCCACCCTGGGCCGGAGCCTGGCGCTGAGACAGACGAACCTGTCGCAGAACAGGCAGGGGGTCCGCTGCTCGGCGTGGGGGAGATCCGCGTCGTCCTCATCCTCCCAGCTGGCCTCGTCTCCGCTGTCGGACAGGCCTGGCGGGTCCTCCTCCTCCGCGGCGCCTAGCACACGCAAACGGACACCAGTGCTAACCCGGCGCACGAGGGGCAGGGAGGGGTGAAGGCCTTGGGCCCGGCCGGCCCTCCCCGCCCCCCCACCGGACCTCCCCGTTCCTCTCCGCGGGACCCCTCCGCCCGGGGGAGAAGGGGGCTCTCACTGGCCCCAGGGCGGCGCGGCCTGCGTGCCGAGGGGCCGGGGTACCCACCGGTAGCGCCTGACGCTAACGAGCACATGCCTGAGTCGGCCCTGGGAGACCAGCACGCCTCTGGGCGGGGAACAGCGGGAGCAGCGCGCGCGCAGCCGCCTCGGAGCAACGCCGGCCTGGGAACCCCGGAAGCAGCGTGAGCGCGCAGCGGGGCCGTTGCTCGGGGAAACCTCGGGGACGCCGGAAAACGCGAGAGCGCGCGCGCCGGCTCGCGAGCGCTTCCGGCCTCAGGAGCGCAGGGTCGTTCGCGCGACTGGGGTGGGCGGGGCGAGGGCGGGGCTCCGCCTCCCCCAACGCAGGACGGACGCAGCGCGCGCCTAATGTGCGCGGAAGCCTGGGCTCGCCCTTGCAGCTTGTACGTAGCTTTTGTGTTCTCTTTGGGCTGCGGCAGGCATTAGCGTTGACACCCTGGCCTACAGCCCAGAGCCAACAGCGGCTCCGCAGTCCGCATCGCGCCCCTAGTCCATCCCTTATTCTAGGGAAGAGCCGCTAGTGGAGGGCGAGCTGCTTGCAGCGCCCTCTGGTGACGGGAAATGTCAAACGCAGGCGAGAGCCTGGGACTCCACCCTGGTTCGGGGCCCCAGGCGCCTCTGGGGTGCGGCTGGGGAAAGGGAACTGCAGAGACCAGTGAATGTACCAGGGGCCAAAGCCTGAAGGGCTGTTTTAAGCAGTTTTGTCTTTGAAGTGTATGTCCCAAGTTCTAGTACCAGATGTTGGCACTGGGCTTGGCACAAATTTATCCAGTTAAACTGACTGCTATGGCGTGCCAGGCTCTAATTTTGTCTGACATCTCAACTCATGCCTCTTCCTTGGACCCCACTCTGTAGGGACTTCCCTTGTGGCTCAGATGATAAAGTGTCTGCCTACAATGTGGAAGACCCGGGTTTGATCCCTAGCTCGGGAAGATCCTCTGGAGAAAGAAATGGCAACCTACTCTAGTACTGACTGGAAAATCCTGTGGATGGAGGAGCCTGGTAGTCTACAATCCATGCGGTCACAGAGTCAGACACGACTGAGCAACTAAACTTTCACTCCAGCCTTTCATTTGGTGCTACTCATTTTCCCACCTCTATTGTCTTTGATCATGGCATCCGGTCCCATCACTTCATGGCAAATAGATGGGGAAACAGTGGCAACAGTGTCAGACTTTATTTTTTGGGGCTCCAAAATCACTGCAGATTGTGATTGCAGCCATGAAATTAAAAGATGCTTACTCCTTGGAAGGAAAGTTATGACCAACCTACATAGCATATTAAAAAGCAGAGACATTATTTTGCCAACAAAGATCCGTGTAGTCAAGGCTATGATTTTTCCAGTGGTCATGTATGGATGAGATGGACTGTGAAGCAAGCTGAGCACCGAAAAATTGATGCTTTTGAAGTGTGGTGTTGGAGAAGACTCTTGAGAGTCCCTTGGACTGCAGGGAGATCCAACCAGTCCCTTCTAAAGGATATCAGTCCTGGGTGTTCATCGGAGGGACTGATGCTAAAGCTGAAGCCCCAGTAATTTGGCCACCTCATGTGAAGAGTTGACTCACTGGAAAAGACCCCGATGCTGGGAGGGATTGGGGGCAGGAGGAGAAGGGGACGACAGAGGATGAGATGGCTGGATGGCATCACCAACTCGATGGACGTTGGGTTTGGGTAAACTCTGGGAGTTGCTGACGGACAGGGAAGCCTGGCATGCTGAGATTCATGGGGTTGCAAAGAGTCGGACACGACTGAGTGACTGAACTGAACTGACTGTCTTTGATAATGAAGTCCTACTGAAGGGGAGGTGCTTTTGTCTCCGCCGCACGTCTCTCCTCAGACCGTCGTTTCTAGAGTAGCTTCCACTGTCACCCAGGCAGCCTCCAGTTAGTTTCTTAGCACCTGCATGTGCGCTAAGTCTCCTCAGTTCAGTTCAGTCGCCCAGTCGGGTCTGACTCTTTACGACCCCATGAATCGCAGACGCCTCCAATTCTTTGCAACCCCATGGACTGTAGCCCACCAGGTTCCTCTGTCCATGGGATTCTTCAGGCAAGAATATTGGAGTGGGTTGCCATTTTTTTCTCTGGGGGATATTCCAGACCCAAGGATCGAACCCTTGTCTCCTACATTGCAGGTGGGTTCTTTACCACTAGCACCACCTGGGAAGCCCTTTTTCCTTTCTTCTTTCAGTCTTCAGCCACAATACTGTTTGAGCATGAGGAAGGGCCATGTCTCTACTTTCATTTCTCTGGCACATAATATGTGGCCTAACTTATAGTAGGTACTCAATAAATTTGCTGAGTGAATAAAAAAATTCCTTAATGAGAATTCCTTGTATTACTGCTAAACTCTTCTGAAGTTTACTCCTTTTCTTTTACTGTCAAGCCTAGGGGTCAGAATCCATCAAATACCAGTTTTGAGGTCCCCTTATATCAGGATGTGCCACTCTGCCATGCTTAGTCACTCAGTTGTGTCCAACTCTTTGCAAACCCCATGGACTACAGCCCACCAGGCTCCTCTGTCCATGGAATTATCCAGGCAGCAATACTGGAGTGGGTTACCATACCCTTTTCCAGATCTTCCAAACCCAGGGATTGAACCCAGGTCTCTGGCATTGCAGGCTGATTCTTTACCATCTGAGCCAGCAGGGAAGCCCAAGAAAACTGGAGCGGGTAGCCTATCCCTTCTCCAGGGGATCTTCCCGACCCACAAATCAAACCAGGGTCTCCTGCATTGCAAGTGGATTCTTTACCAGCTGAGCTACCAAGGAAGCCCATATTGTAGGATATTGCCAGACTATCTGCTGGCTTCACTAGGTTAGACTTAGTGTTCACTGTTTACTGATGTAAACCCACTGCCTACATGTCCAGTGGCACACAGGAGTGGCACATAGCATTGAATGAACTAATGAATTCAAAGACATTTGTTACCTGGGCTCATGCAGCTTCTTCCTTCATCCTTCCAACATACTCTCCAGCAAGGCTTATCTTCTCCCTGTCTGCATAACATTTGGAGGAAGACGTGCTAAATCCCATTAACACCCCAGGTAGATCACAGGTTGATCCCTGGATTGGGAAGATCCCCTAGAGAAGGAACTGGCAACCCACTCCAGTATTCTTGCCTGGAAAATCCCATGAACAGAGAAGCGTGGCGGGCTACAGTCCATGGGGCTGCTTAAGAGTCAGACACAACTGACAGACTGAACAACTCCGTGTTAACAGTAATCAAAGTAACACCCAGTCTGGAGGACTGACAGGGTCAGGAGTTTATCTGTCACCACAATGCTGGGCTTAGCAGGGAGCAGCTTTTTTCTTTACTCCAAAGATAAAACACAGACCCTCTCCCATCACCCCACTTCACTACTGAGATCAGAATAGAATGGTGAAGACCCAACAGGTTTGTGGGTAAGGAAATAACAAACAGAATAATTTAAAACTGGGCACTGGGTATAGCTTCTTCTAGAGTCCACCAGCCTCAAGATATCTCATGGGGTCCCTTCACTTCATCCACACTTCTTGCAGCCCATGCTTTGGTGCTGCAAACACAGACTCAGAGTTTAGCCCCAAAGGAACCCCACCCTCCATGAAGAAGGAAGATGTTCTATCTCCTTCTTAAAGCCCACATTCCAAGATCTTATCTCATCCTAAAATATGCCTCTTTCCTAGATGACTGACATTGGGCTTATCCCATCCTAAGATATGCCTCTTTCCTAGATGACTGACATTGGGAATGCCCAATACCTTCTAAAGACAGACAGACAGACAGACAGACAGACACACACGCATGCGCACTTCCCTTACGGCTCAGATGGTAAAGAATCCACCTGCATTGTGGGAGACCTGGGTTCCATCCCTGGGTTGGGAAGACCCCCTGGAGGAGGGGCATGGCAACCCACTCCAGTATTCTGGCCTGGAGAATCCCCGTGGACAGAAGAGCCTGGCGGGCTATAGTCCCTGGAGTCGCAGAGTCCGACATGATTGAGCAACTCAGCACAGCAAACACACCCACTTGAAGGGGATAGCCTGTATCTTCTTGTGTCCACGGAAGCTTGAAATTCACTACCTGGCTTCCCCCAGCACAGAAGTTAGGACGAATTTCCCTACTATCTTTTGCTCCATGATGTGTGCTCCTCTTGACTGTGACCTTTCCTTTTGCATCTTCCTTTCCTTTTCCATAGTTTTTAAAGTGAAACACTTTGAGACATGTTAACTATGTGAACGTTTTGTGGTTAATCATTAGAGAGATCCCAGACCAACAGAGAACCCAAATATTTCGATCATATGCATACATGGCATGTACTGATCCAGTAATAATTAGGTGGAGTTTCCTTGAAATACACGGATACTGGATCCTCTTGCCAAGTGGCTGAAAACAGAAGCTACTTGACTTGGGTTAGAATCCTGGTTCTGCTATTTCCTGGCTTTAGCTTTGGGCCCTTGGGCAAGGTAGTTAGCCACACTGAGCCTCAGTTTCCCCATCTAAGATATGGGATGATGTGAATTGTAAGGATTGCTTGGAAGGTTAAAGGACAGACAGCATGTATAAAGGTTGGCATTTAGCAATCACCTGATAAATATTAGCTGCTATTCTATCACCCCACTGAAACCTGAGCATTTTCTAACAATCTAAGGGCACCCACAACTTGTCCATTCATATTAACTATTCCATTTAATTCTCCCATGAATTATATAAGCTCAGTTACATAATAACTTTTATTATATATCCAAAAGAAGTAGTAAGGCACAATGTTCACTTAGACAATTAACAGGCAGTCACCACAGGGTAACTCAGAGATACAAATGTGAACAATTTTAGTTCAGACTCATCTGCATGATACAGAGTGCACTGCTGCTGTGACTCTGCAGAAAAGCGTTTCAAGGCTGGCCTCTGTGCCAGTGGCATCAGAACATTAAGCTTCAACAACAGATTTCTGTGCCCATAACTCAAAAATTCTGAGTCAGAAAATCCTGACTCAGGCCCTCCTATGAACCTCTTTATTTCTGTGCAGAATACCAGACACTAGGCCACCAGGGAGCTGGTGGATCTGTATTTTTGAAAGGCTCCCCGGGTGATGTCTATTTATGTACAAGCAAGTAAATGTTAGTTGTTCAGTCATGTCTGACCCTTTGCAACCCCATGGACTGTAGCCCGCCAGGTTCCTCTGTTCATGGAATTCTCCAGGCAAGAAGACTGGAGTGGGTAGGCACTCCTTTCCCCAGGGATCTTCCCCACCCAGAGATTGAACCTGGGTCTCCCACACTGCAAGCGGGTTCTTTACCATCTGAGCCACGAGGAAAGCCCCAGGTTCTAAAACACTGACGCAGAGCACAATCATTTTTTGACTGGGCAAAAACTGAAAACCATAGTTAAGGCACATTTTTTTTTAGACTCTGAAATTACCAATTAGCTGGTAGGTGCTGAGCCTGACAATTAAGAAGAAACACTTATTCAGTGTGGTCATGGCTTGAGAGGGTCATCGGCTTTCCCCAGGCCATGGATGGCCTTGTTATCCAGCAGCTCCTTCTCCGCGTCACTTGGTCTCACCGCGTTGTTCAGCATTGCTCTGACCACAGTTATCACCGGCACAGAGTGCCCACTGGCCCAGGATTCTGGTAAGGAGCCAAAGAACTTCCTAACCAGCCATTCACCTGGGCGAGATTCCTGCCTGTCACATAAGAGAACTCTAAAGGGAAAAAGAAAAGCAGGGGAACAGATGGTAAATTGTGTTCAGATCACTGTTGTTGTTGCTCAGTCACTAAGTCTTGTCCAGCTCTTTGTGACCCCATGGACTGCAGCACACCAGGCTTCCCTGTCCTCCCCTATCTCCCGGAATCTCAGACCATACAGTAATTGCACTGTGTCTCCCCAAATTCATGTTAAAGCCCTAACCCCCAGTGTGACGTCACCCAACACTAATCCTGATGGCACCTTAATCTTGGACTGGTAACCTCCCATTCTGTGATGTTACTCTGTTAGGGCAGCCCAAACACCAGTCCAGTGTGAAAACAGTCTTATTTGGGCATGAAGAGGATTCTGAAGAAGAAGGCAGCAAAAGCTACCCAGGAAATTCCAGACTATTCTGAACCTGGCACCAACAACCATCTACCCCTTTCTTGAAAGCCCAAAGCTGGGTTCTTCGGGGAAGTGCTCTCCCTCCATACGACTTCTATTCACATCATAGAAATCTTATTTGTCATTCTCTTCAAATGAAAAAGCAGCTCATAGAGAATAACCAGCTTAAAGGTGTACTCCTAGGCAGTAGGAATACTTACCCAGGCCTAAATATGGAATAACGATCAAATTTTAACTCTTCAACTCTAGCTTCCACTTCCCCCTGTTAGCAAAAGACACATTTAGTACGTAATCAAGACCAACTTGCTATAATGCTAACAACAAGCGTATCTTGGGGTTTTGAAGACAATCTGCTTCTGCAGGTCTCAATATATGTAAATATCTTCTTCCAGATTTTCAGATTCTAGAGTCTGGAAAGTGAAGGAAGAGATGACATGCAGTAGAAAATGAAAAAAGATGCTCTCAAAGTCTCTTCTAATGCTAGGGTTCTGAGCTTATCTTCAATACCAGAGATGGCAACACTTCATTTCATGCTTACCAGATAATCAACAAAGGGGAAGACACTGGAAATTATCTTTCAAATCACTCTTGATTACTAAATATATCCTGGCAAAAGAGCAGTTCCTGCAGCTATAAAAAATGCATAACATAATGCATTTAATGCATTCTGGCATTACCTAGCATTTTATATTATTACTACCAAAAAGCCAAGGTTCCCCAAAGTATATAAAAGACAGAAACATGCACAAACCTTGACTTGCAGATATAAAAAATTGCTTGACTTATCAGCTCCCTTAGAGGAGAGCAAGTTGAAATGTTTGCACCCTCCAGACTTTGCGAGCTCTGCAGACTTCAGGACATAATCACGATCAACACGGACAAATCCGTCCTAAGGGCAAAAAGAATGAGTTATTTCCAAACAGCTGTGAGTTTGTCTTAAAAATTACTCCTCAGCTTGGTGGCAGGTAAGCAGTCCTGTGGTGGGGAAGGAAGAGGATCTAAGTAAAATGAATCTGAGTAAAACATGTACATCAGGCTCAGACCCTGGGAATGGCTCTGATGTGACGCTCAGGACAGATGTACCAGCTTCAGTAGCAAGGCCAGACTGTGATGAAAAAACAAGGTCAGTGACATTGAAACCAGACTCCAAGCAACTCTGCAATGAGCAAAAGGAACGATGATATTATCAGGCTGAGAGACTGTTTTTAGTCTCACATTTCTTTGTCTTTAATCACTTTACAACCTTACCACCCTGTTTGTGTTTTCTCCGTTTTTTTTCAGTGTTAACTTTAACATGGTAGTGTCTCAAAAGAGTGGCTGCGAACACTATTCAGGCACTATGAGAATGAAGTCTATTTAATTTCCAACTTTTATGTATGTTTTACAACATACTTTACATGTTAGTAAGGAGTGCATCTACAAACTTTTTACTGACAGGTGTATAATCAAGGGGGTTTCCCAGGTGGCTCAGTGTTAAAGAATCTACCTGACAGGCAGGAGACATGGGTTTGATCCCTGGGTTGGGAAGATCCCCTGGAGAAGGCAATGACAACACGCTCCAGTATTCTTACCTGGGGAATCCCATGGACAGAGGAGCTTAGTAGCCTACAGTCCATGGGGGTCACAAAAGAGGTGAATAAACAACCACATATAATTAAGAATGTTTGGAGACCCCTGATCTACACTCAGTCCAGTGAGGGTAGCTGTTGGGTCTTTCTTAGTTCACATCTCAGCATCTGTACACGCCCAGTACCTGATGGGTACTCCAAAAATGCTGGAATGAATAAAAGTCCAGTGAAAGCAGAAAAAAGGCAAATCCAACTAGGAAAAAAATAAGAGGCAATCAGAGGAGGAGGGGAGAGGATGGTGTAAACAAGATAACATGGACTCATTTTTATTTTTAGGGTCTAGCTGAAGGACCCATGCCTGTATCCAGAAAAGGGAATTCCATGTAAGAGCTTCTTGGGACCACCACAAGGCCGGGCGTACTCAAACTCAGGACAGCTGAAAAGAAGTCTAAAGTCCAGTGAAGCTGAACTTCACAAGTACCCACAATTATATAATGAGGTTTCACATAAGGGGTCCAAATCTGAAAGCTAGATTACTGTCCCAGTGATCTTTTTGTTGTTGTTCTTAATTAAAAATCTGCTCAAACAGAGACTCTGTAACCATCTAGAGGGATGGGATGGGGAGAGATATGGGAGAGAGGTTTGGGAGGGAGGGGACATGGGTGTACCTAAGGTTGATTCTTGTTGCTGCTTGACAACAAAATTCTGTCAAGCAGTTATCCTTCAATTAAGAATAAATACATTTTTAAAAGTCTGCCCTCTCGTAGTTATTGACCCTAAATGTATGTATCTTTCATAGGATAGATAGAAGGCACTTTGGGAAACATCACAGCCAACCCCCTCACTGTGGAGATGTGACCACAGGGCACAGCATTCCAAGAACTCCTGGCTAATAAGTGAGAGAGCTGAGAGCAGCATGCAAATTCCTGACTCTCTAAGCAGGACTTCCCACTTGTACCCATGTTCCTTCTTACTTCACACCGTCTCCAGCTAATGACAAGACTAATTCATTGTTGTGGTAGACAGAATAATGGCCCCTCAAAAATGCCCACATCCTAATTCCCACACCTGTGAATGTGTTAGAGGCTGCATGGCCAAGGTGAATGAAGGTTGCAAGTGGAATTATGGCTGCTCATCAGCTTTTTCACTCTCCTCTTTCACCCTCATCCAAAGGCTCTTTAGTTCCTCTTCACTTTCTTCCATTAGTTCAGTTCAGTTCAGTCGCTCAGTCGTGTCCGACTCTTTGCGACCCCATGAACTGCAGCTTGCCAGGCCTCCCTGTCCATCACCAACTCCCGGAGTCCACCCAAACCCATGTCCATCAAGTTGATGATGCCATCCAGCCATCTCATCCTCCGTCATCCCCTTCTCCTCCTGCCCCCGATCTTTCCCAGCATCAGGATCTTTTCCAATGAGTCAGCTCTTCACATGAGGTGGCCAAAGTATTGGAGTTTCAGCTTCAACATCAGTCCTTCCAATGAACACCCAGGACTGATCTCCTTTAGGATGCACTGGTTGGAGCGAAAGTGGTATCATCAGTGTATCTGAGGTTGTTGATGTTTCTCCCAGCAATCTTGATTCCAGCTTGTTATTCACCCTAGCCTGGGATTTTGCATGATTTACTCTGCATATAAATCAAATAAGTGGGGTGACAATACACAGGCTGGAGGTACTCCTTTCCCAATTCTGAAACAGTCCTTTGTTCCAAGTCTGGTTCTAACTGTTGACCTGTACACAGGATTCGCAGGAGATACAGAAGGTGGCCTGGTATTCCCATCTCTTTAAGAATTTTCCACAGTTTGATGGGGTCGCAAAGAGTCAGACACAACTTAGCGACTGAACAACAACAATCAGTAACAACCACCTTGACGCTGAAAAAGGTTATTCTGTATCATCCAACTGGGCCCAATGTAATCACAAGACTCCTTACAGTGGAACAGGGCAGCAGAAAAGGAGGCTGGAGTCAGGCAGTGTGAGGGGCACTGGATCCCCCACGGCCGGCCGGAGAGATGGGGGAAGGGGCCATGAACCCCCGTGGACTCCAGAGCCAGCAACTACTGTAAAGAAACGGGTTCTCCCTTAGAGCCAGCCCTGTCAACACCTTGATTTTATCTCAGCAAAATCCACATCCGCCTGCTAACCATAAGATGATAAATTCACGTTGTTTTAAGCCATTAACTTTGAGGGAATTTGTTACAGCAGCAATAGGAAACCAATACAGAATTCAATTCTAAAACAAGAGGTCTGAGCAAACTTTCCAAACCTTGTCTTGCAGTGGATCATAAAAGAAAACATTTTCAGTATAGGACTGGCTATAAAATGTTCATAAACTAAACATCTTCTGCAACCAGCTCCCAGACCCAGAAATAAAGCATCACTGTTACCCCCAAAACCTGTTTTGTCCTCTCTTCTCATCACTCCCCACAGAGAATTTTTGACTATGTCCATGACCTGCAGGACAGTGTTGTTCCTTTGCCTTTCCTTCTTTTAGATGATATAACCTTAACTCTTAGCCAGGTATCATCCCCATCTCCTTTTGTGTTGTAGACTTTGACATTCAATCCTAATTCTGGACTGGAAGACCTATCCTACACACTGATTGCAATTCCCTCTTGCTGCTTTTCTAAATGGGTGTGCAGCAAACTGATTTTAATACTCAGCACATCCTGAGAGTGGGATGAGACTGACCTCCCCAGAGCCATTCTCTGAACTGAGATTTTACATGTGCTGAAAAATT